GGAAAGGAAAAGATTATTAAATGCAAAAATTACTTTTCAAAAATTTAATGCTCATTAATTTTATGCAACAAATGGATAAAATAAAAGGTAAAATAATTTTTGAAAATAAATTAAATGATAAGGATGAAATGTGACAAATTATGCTTACTTAATGCTAATTTATTATACAATCATCAAAATATTTTCATTTCATATAGTAATAATTTGTATATTCTTTCATCAAAAATTTCATTTTAAATGTAATAATGATAAGAATGAATTAGAAATATCACTCAGTGAAAATGAAAATTTTCATTAAGCATGCTTATATTTGTGTTTTTTTTTTGGCTAATTATTTTAATGCTAATTGAGATTTCATAATTTTTCAACCAATTAATTGTTGAATTTAATGAAAATAAAAGGAAAAATCACATCACATCATATCATATCACCTGAATATCAATTAAATAACAATTTTGTTTATTTTGAAAAAAAAAATGAAAAAGATGAAAAACAAATTATAAAATTCATTAAAATATTCATAATCAACACAGTACAGGAAAAAAAAGATTAATGGATCAAAAAACAAGTTTTAATTTCATAATTGAATTTAGTACTCGACTAGTATTTCCTGCTCGATGTGCTAAAGCAACTCGAATTGCTGCATCAAATACTTGCCGAATACCCTGAAAATTTTAATCAGTATTTATAGAAATAATTAAAATTGGAATAAATATTATTGTAATGGAATAGAACTTTAATCTATTAAAATCATGCGTTAATTAATGAGATAAATATGATTGAAAATTATAAATGATGATAGAATGATGCGTTAATGATGGTTAATTTAATTAATCGAGTCAAACAATACTTCCATAAATTTTATATTAACACTACTAAAATTTCCAGGAATTAATTATCAATGCTTATCTAATTATTACCATTATCTTATCCAATTAATTATTGCGCAATAATTAATTATCAATGTTTGTCTAATTTTTATCACTACATTATCAATCTAGGATTGCTTACCTAATTTTTACCGCCACTTTATCAATTTAGGATGCTTACCTAATTTTTACCACTATTTTATCAATCTAGGATGATTACCTAATTTTTACCGCCACTTTATCAATTTAGGATGCTTACCTAATTTTTACCGCTGTTTTATCAATCTAGGATGCAATTAATTATTGTAATATATCTCAAGTATATGAAACATTGCAAATATTATTCTCATCTTAATATCACTATCTCATGTGTTCATTACTACTAAAATAATTTGTCGCATAATTTATAATATTTTATATTTGAAAGGAAAAAAGAAAAACATTAATATTAATGATAATGATCATAATCATTATTATCATTATTATTTTTCGTAGTATAATAAAGTGAGGAAAAACAATGAAAAAATAATTCACAATTTATTAAATATCGATTACAATTTTCAAATTTAAATTTTAAAAATATAAAATTAAATGAACTTTATACGATTGAACCTCGTTTGTTTTTGCCGAACATTCGATTACTTGATGAGCGGAAAATTCTTTAGCGCATGCTGCTGCATCATCAAAATTAACTAAATGTTTATGTTGTTCAGAATTTTCATCACATTCTTTTCGACATTCTCGTTCTTTCTCATTTCGAATATCTTTTTTATTTCCAACAACTAAAATTGGAACATCCGGACAAAAGCGCCGAATCTAAAATTAAATTTTTTTTTTTTTTAAACATTATTGAAATGAATTTACAAAATGCAAATTTTATTCGTTTAATTATTAAAATATTGACAAAAATAAAATTTCAAAATGTTGATTTGAAATTGTTTAATTTTAAATTTGATTAATAAATATACGTCGAATAATGATTTAATAAAAGAAAAAAATGTTATCAAACCTCAGGTATCCATTTTTCCTGAACACTTTTTAATGATTGTGGCCTTTCCACTGAATAGCATACGATAAAGACATCCGCATCCGGATAGCTTAACGGTCTTAGGGTATTATAATCATCTTCACCGGCTGTATCGCATACAGCTAATACTTTCTGTAATTTTTCCACCTTTATTTTTTTTTTTTTTAATTCTAAAAGTGATGATAATTAATTATCATTAACACAGATTATTGGAGTGTAATTTTCAATTGAGATTAATATTTTCAAGTTTAGGATTTAAAAAATCGAAAGTTGTATAAAAATTACGTTAAAAAAAGAAAAGCATAAACGATGTATGAATAATTTTTAGTGATTTATTTGAGTTCAAAAAAAAAAAAAAAATTTCAATTTACAATTTCATAAAAAATTGCAAATGAAATTTTCGGAATAGAATTTTGTAATTTTTAATTCTCACAAAAAAAAGAAAACATATAGATAAAGGAATTCCAAAAATTTTTTGGAGGAAAAAAAAATTGAGATTTTAAATTTTAATCAATTTCAAATTAAAAAAAAAAAAAAACATGTAGATAAAGAAATTCCAAAAATTTTTGGTGAAAAAAAAATTGAGAAAAATTCAAAAATTTTGATTTAAATTTTAATTAATTTCAAATAATTGCATAAAATTTTTTTTTTCTTTTTTGCAAAAAACTCAATGAAAAATTGATAGTAATAAATAATTTTTTACTT